TGCGCTCAACGATTTACCAAATTGAACGTGCAGGCTTTTTACCTTCTGGAGAGAAGCAACTGCTGGAAAGCCTCTTAAAAATCAAACAACCCTGGGGGAATGGGAGATCGCACGAAATGGACAACCAAGCTGTGCGGAACTGCCGTAGTTGTAATTGCATTAACCCCTCTCTGTGATTGAAAGGCAGCCAAGGCCAGTTTGGCATTGCGGACTTTAATTCGGCAAAGCTAGAGGATGTAATTATCATCGCGGAGGCGTTGCAGGAAATTGGATACCCCAATACCCGAGCAGTTAAAGTTGTGGAGGGACGAGCAAAAGTCACCGTCTTAAGCAAGCCTTGAATTCTTAATCGGCATTATTTTACAAAAGCAGCTGCTTCTTGATATCCGAACGACTGGATATCCACAAGCTCAATAGCATACCATTACAGCACTTGGCCAAATGTGAGATACATATTTTCTTACGTTGTCAAACTTTTCCCTACAGATGGTATGATGGTTCCTCCTTTGAATCATAGCATATGTAGCATATGCGCAGGATCCTATGGGCAATCACACTTCATAAATATCTGAACACATACAATCTGCACTATTTTACTTGTTGCTGCAGACAAACAAATCAACTGCACTGAAGTGGCCGGTCGATTCGATGTGGCCCTTGAAAGCCTTTAGACAATCACACATGTCCCATGAGACCAACTCCTCTGCGTTTCGTTTCATCTTTTCAAATGGTAGAATGAATTCCCTTGTAGCTTGCCGCATTCTTGAGCCGATTTAAATCTGCTTTGAACAATGCCCTCAATGCTTTGTTCTTGAGCGCATATCAACGCTTGTTGACTTGAACAGCAACAGCCTCAACTCGTGTTAAAATTTACTTGTTCTCATTTTTTGCAGACTTCCTACCATTCAAATAACAAAAATATCCCTAAATTAAAATCATATCATATGAATAGATTTTTTTCTGTCACTTACTTTACAACTCGGTCCTTGACAACTTTCTTTAAAAAAAAAACCGTATCGTCTGTCATATCTCAGAGTAGAATCCTATGACTTGCCATACCCCAAAGTTGGAAGCGGCATCATTGGGTGAATCAATCGACTGATCAAACACTATCCACTTTGCAGCTGACGTTCGATCGCTGCACGAGAGGTCGTTTAGTTTGTTGTAGCTGCCAATGCAAACTAGCTGCGGACCACTCACTGGCTTATAAGCATGTACCTCAAACCCAAAGCCTGTCGAAGATGGACATGTAAGGTAATCCGCAAACTGATGCAACTTCAGAGCAAGATTTTCTCAAACGAATATGAACCTCTTTTTTGTGAAGTTCTATCAAGGGCAGTCCCCCCCCCCCCCGCCAACGTTTAATTGGGGTCACGCAAATAAAGAACGCTCTGCAACAAGTGCAGTCACACATTTATCAGCCGCCATAATAATAATTTCAACCTGTAATGCACCGCACAACAATGAATGACTCAAAAGGCACGAGCATGAACCGGAAAGAAGTGGGAGTAAGGCAGCCAGGTGGTGAGCCGTGCCAAATTTTCTCCCACACCTCCCCCGCGCACCTCCAAGCTCTGCAGTCCTCTATATATATAAATGCAATTTATAGCGCGCGCAAATTTGCGGACGTAACGGCCGCAACTCAGAGGCGCGGAGCCAAGCTCAGAGTCGCTCGAAAGCTCGTGGTTATAGAGGTGAGTTTTTAAGTCTCTCTTGAAGGAGGCGATTGAGGTGATGCTGCGAATGTGCAGAGGAATATCGTTCCAGACTGTTGGGGCTGCCACCGAGAAGCGGCGCATAGCCGTGACCATCCTGGATCTTGGTATCAAGAGGAGGTCGTGAGTCGCCCTGCGCAGGCATCTGCCGTGTGCTGAGCTGCAAGTTGTCTATAATGAAGAAAGGTACGGCGGGCAGGCAGATGTGAAGGGCATTGTGGCAGAGGCAGGCGATCTTGTATATGACGCTACTGGCGATGGGTAGCCAGTTGAGGGCACGGAGACAGGCTAGTGAGTCGAGACGGGGATGAGTGTGGCCAATTATGACGCGTGCCAGGTTGTTTTGTAGTCTTTGAAGTTTTTTTAGGTTGCCAGTAGAGGTCCGGACTAGGACGGAGTTGCAATAGGCAAGGCGTGACCCAACTATGCAGCATGCCAATGTGTTGGCAATTTCAGTGGAGATGAGAGGACGTAGGTGTCGGAGAGCCTTCAGGTGAAAGTTACATGAACCGATGATATGGTTGGTTTGACGGTCGAAGGATAAAGCTGAATCTATATACAAAAATACATTATTGTCAAATTCCCAAGTGTTTTACGTGGTCAATCCACTGCTGGATGGAGGCCCACGCCCTGAAGCCTCCAGCATGTCTCAGGATCCTGCCATGCGATGATCCACATAGCGCCATCGCACAGGAACTGATTTCGTCGCTACCGTTCCCTCGGTGGACTCGCTCTGGGATGCAATTTCACTCCTTGGCTGCGACGCCGTCATTAACTTTTACCATCTGCCACAATTCCCTGCCAGTGATGCATTCTGCCCAAGCCCACTTAATTTTCTCAAACAGTTTGAATTATCTTCTTGGTTCTTTCGGTAAAGTCACGTAGAAGGGAAGTAATAAAATAATACAAATAAAACATAATAAAAAAATTCTCACGACGTTTCGGCCACAACGCAAGCAGCCGTCCTCAGGTGAAGAATGAAAGACCACCAAGCTTGGAGCGTATATTTAAGCTGGGTTGGAGGGGGAAGAAGAGCACCTTGACAAAAAAACATTTATGGGAAATGCGTAGGAGGTGGGCGGGGGGGTTTCAAAGTCATATTATCAGCAGCATCAAAGGGAGGACGGCTGCTTGTATTGTGGCCGAAACGTCGTGAGAATGATTTTATTATGTTTTATTTTTATTATTCTATTACTTCCCTTCTACGTGACTTTACCGAAAGAACCAAGAAGATGAATCCCTGCAGTCACGAAAGCTTTAAATCGAAGTTTGAATTATGTCATGAGGCTGTCTATGTTATATAACACACGTGCGTTTTGTCTTCATGTCTCTCAATACGATTCCAAACGTGCATTTCTCCATGCTTGTGTGTTCTTTTTTAGATTGTTATTTTTTCGTGAATGACACACACATTGCATTGATGTGTTCCCTTTCCATTATCGAGTTCAACCATCCAAAAGCACTCCAACTTGCTCTTATCCATGACTAAAATGAAAAGTAAACTAAACAAGAACCTGGCAATACGGATTACAATGCATGCAAATGCATTCTGAAAGTCACCGACCGTGATAATCCCCAAAATATGAAGTAACACCTGTTATAGAGATTACAAGATACGCAAGGAAATTAACACACCTCAAACATGTGCACGATGTCTATTACAAAGTTATACAAATCTGGTCACGCGCACACACACACACACAAACCCATCAATTTAAAGACTCTGAACTCTTGCTTTATGATGCAGGACAAACAAGCGAGTGATATAATCTGAAGAACACAGTATTATTTACATTACGTTTACATTTGCTTTTACGGTAAAATAGAGGGTGACATATCGTAAAGTGTTTTTCTTTATTTTGCCCCATTAACATAAGCAAACACAAATTGATTCAGGCACGTACACAACTTTTGGCAAAAATTGAAAGACCAAAGTGGGAGAAACCCAGAGTTCAGACTGTGTTATTGACTTGGAAAGCAAGAATCGTACATGTTGATCCCTGACATGGGAAAATGTTAGATGTCATTAAGATAAAGCCCACCAAGCATGTCAAATAAAAGCATTTTTCATCGTATTGTTGGCAAAGCCAACAACACATTGATTCAGTGCTGTCAGTGTAATCACACCATTTGTCGGGCACATAAATGGCCCAGCAACTCAAAGCTCCTGACAACTCAGCTATACCACCAATGCCCGTGCAGTGACTAACTCAGAGACGATAAGACTTGGAGGCACTTCTTTATTAACTGGCACCATCGGGATTAACACACTTAATATTGAGTCCGTCTATTACACTGGTCAACACACTTTTTCTGGCCTAAGGTATTCCAACGGGTTTAAGGTAATAATTTCGGGGGTGCTGATTCCAAATCTGGCATCAGTTTTTGTCGATCACATCAGGTTTTTTTAGATATCAAATATTGCATTTTCAATAAAAACTTCAGAAGGAAAATATTAAATAAATGTGGATATTTACATAAAATTATATTATAAACACACTATCCTAAAAATACAGCACCATATTTTAACACTAAAGCAGTCACCGACTCGCAACAACTTGCAATCATAAGTGACAGAGTTAATTTCGGGTAAAATCAATGAAAATGGGGTACGCCGATAGCATAAAAATTACGTGATAGAGCAAATCTGAGATCAGATTTGGAATCAGCACCCTGAAATTAGTCTAAAACAGCTGCAAAAGTCCAGGCCAGAATTTTTTTTTTTTTGTTGACCAGTGTTACCGGCGACGCTACTCAGCCAGGACAGTTGGTTGGCTGTCTTGACTAGCGGCGCCCCGAGATGGTAGAGACAACGACGCGAAGAATGGTGAAGACGACGTGAAGAATGGCGACGATGGACTTGAGCAGCACGACAGGGTCCCCACTCCAACAACAGCCTCGAGGTCCCCCACAGGGGCCCCTCTTATACCGTCAGCGTGGCCTCGCTCCGTCCCCGGCCACAACCCCTTTCTGGAACCTACCAGCGGGTTCCTGGTGGGCCCCTTCTGTGATCTTTCCCCAAGATCCCCCTCTCGTGTATATCCTGGCCTGCTGACGTCAGGACTGCCACACGCCGCAGATCCCCTTTTCTGCCAGCAGCCAGCGCTATGCCACTACACCCGTATGATGGTTTTAGCTGACGGCAGGACGTGTGGCAAAATGTGTATGTAGCAGTGGCTTGCAAAATGAGTTGCCAGTAGGGCACGATGCTGCCATTGGTTTTCCAAATTATGTAATGAGTGACGAAAATACATCTGATCCGTGGAATGCAAAAGGAAAACATACCTCTTGGCCAGCTGGTAACTCCATCTTTAGTAGCTTGTGGGCACACTCCTCAAAATCCAAGCTGTAAAGATATAAAGGTAACAGCTGAAGACGAGTATTCAAACTTGAATTAGCACTATTATGTGTACATTCATTGTTCACTTTCTCCTTAGTGATACATGTTTTATGTAACCCATTCAAATGCAAAAAGAAAGAGATATACCCAAACTATGCAGGGAATTAGATTTTTGAGACCATAGTCACTTATGCATAGCAAAGACAAAATAATTACACACTTTAATTAGCTGAATGATAATTTTGGTAAGGATTTTTTTTTAAATATTCCTTAGCTTTTATATTTTCCCAACTTTCAAGACCGCTTTATTTCACTTTAATGCGTAATACAGTGGCCTATTTTCCACAAAGCATATTTCAGGCATTATTAAACCTCTGGAGTTACATTTTCTCTCAGCGAGTGCTGAAAAGTGGTTACACCGGGACCACCAAGCGGGTTTCTCTCCATGAAAAAATCATCAAAGCAGGCAGGGCACAAACAAAAGCAAAGATCCCCCGTATAGCCTTAATAGACTGTTGGAGCAAGCGCTGTTCGCGAGCACTTACGAAAGCCGACACCGCACACGAGGGGGTTGGGTTGTTTACACACCACACCAGGTACTCAATTGAGGCCGAGTCGACCTAGGGGAGGCCCAGGACCAGTTTAGGTAATCATCAATGGTGCTGGCCATGAGCGGGAATCGAACTCGGGTCGCCGGGTTCGTAGCACACTACCGCTCCCCACAAAGCAGGCAGGTACACACTCACACACAAACATATTGGGCTCAAACTACCGTTCACTAGGGCAAAGCCAACATCAAACTCTGCACCATATTTCGCCTGTATATTTGAATTAAAAAAACAATCCTAAATGTAACCGTTCACAAAGAGATAGAATTTGGCACAATGCTGCTGGTAATTTCAAAAGAAAACTATATAAATGCGCTACAAATTTAAATTGAACACTACTCAGAAAATTCTAATTTGTACAGAAAATTAAGAGCATTATATTTAATCGTTTAATTAACAGCATGTAGCAGATTGGTTAAAATGGTAAAAAATATTGATGCAGTCGAATTGGCTCACAATTAATACGATTTTACATTCAACCAGACTGTTAAAATACTTAAAACTCTACATTAATTTCTAAACGTAAGTTAACTATGGAAACACCACACAATTTTCAAATGAGCCGAAATGTACAGAGGGGATATTTATGAAGCTCTCTTCATTGAACTGTACAAAAATATTCCTTCGTATTTTTTTTTACTTAGAAACTTAAATCGGACTCGTATACCTGGCAAACGAAGAATGAATGTCATTACGGCACAAAACGATGGCTTTCTGACAAGTATGAACGATGACAAATGACAATATATATCCCATTGCCTTATGTAACAAAATGTTTCAAGCACGTATAGACGATACCAGAATCAAAGTGTTCTTCCCGCGAAGCTCCCCGTCCTTTCAATGCGTTTTACAAAAGTACTCGACACTTGCAAACTGTGCTTGTAGTTTACTGGGCACATCTGAAACAAAGCCAATCTGTGGCTCATGTGCAAAAATAAATGGACCGTTTTGCATGAAAATTGCTGATTTTATTGGGCTGCTTTGCTACGGAGCGAAAAAAAAATTCCCTGCGCAAAAATGTTTTTTTAATTAAAATTATTGCTTGGCTGTTCTTCAAACATCCATTAGGGTTCTATGCGTATCACAGACACCTAGCGTGGCATAAAGAGCATCGACCTGACCTTGAAATATGCAGTTCAGACTATTTTCCGGGTTTGTTCTGGGAAGGACGAAATGGCAGAGCACAAAATGTAAGTGCTGCACAATTAATCGTGGATCCCAGTGAGGGAATTAAAGTACACATTTTCCCATGAGCAATTGAAGTCTTCCATTAGGTCTAATGCACATTTCCATACAATTTAAATGACTGTAGCTCTACACAGTCCCGTTTAATAAAGCTGATTTTGTAACGTAAAAACAATCTTAGATTCAGCACTAATTGGACGGTACCTATTATACGAGGGGAAATTGTATAGGATAACTAGGTATGCCTCATTCAGACATTTGAACATATCTTCCACACAAACATCAGTGTATACTTTTGACTTAAAACGTTCGTGACTGCAGGAATTCATATTCTATGGTTCTTTCGGTAAAGTCAGGTAGAAATTTTTTCTTTATAATAAAATGATAAAAATGAAAATAAAGTGAATGAAAAATAATAAAAATATCACGTTTCGATCGCAACGCCATAGAATATCAGTGTATACCTTATTTGTGTAAAAACATTAGAAATGTTATACGAGTAAAACATCATCCGCACCTAGTTTACACAACAAAGGCTCATTCCTAACATCGTGCTTCAGCTGCACCGAACCTCACAAAAATAATATTCAGGACCTACCTTGGCTCCTCCCACCCTCAACCAGTATATATACAAATACTGTTTCTTGGAATTTCTCTCACTTGATACAGCTATCGTGCTGTGACGGTTCCACCTGAAGACGGAAGCTTGTGTTGCCTCCGAAACGTCGTGATTTTTTTTTGATTTTTATTTTCCTTTTATTAATTAAATTTTTTTACCTACGTGACTTTACCGAAAAAACCTAAGAATATGAATCCTTGCAGTCACGAAAGCTTCAAATCTAGAATATCGAACACCAACGCACTGTGTGTGTTCAACATTAACGAGTTCGATACAAAGATGGAAAATAGAATGTTCCCTTCATTATTCGCGAGGGATACATTCCGGAGATGCCTGTGAATAGTACATTTTGCTGAAAACGATATTGGCCTATGAAAACCTTTTTAATGAATACTCTTAGTTCTTTCGGTAAAGTCACGTAGGTAAAAAAATTTAATTTAAATTAATAAAAATAAAATAATAAAATCACGACGTTTCGGAGGCAACACAAGTCTCCGTCATCACCTGATTTTTTTACCTACGTGACTTTACCGAAAGAACTAAGAGTATGAATCCTTGCAGTCACGAAAGCTTCAAATCTAGAACTTTTTAATGAAATGCATTAAATAAGTAAATAAGCTATTAGATAAGTGAAAATTATCATAATAATATCTCTCATCACATCTCATCTCTTTCTAACATCAGATTCTCCCTCATCACTTTCTTTCTCTCACTCGATGGAGTCATGTAGAGTTCCAGATGCAATTCGTGGAAAGGCAAAGTCGCAGATAGCAAGTTCGTGAATAACGAGGGGCAAATGCATTAAATGGGTTGACCTTTACAAATAAGAATGTTTTTAAAAAAATAAAGCCTTAAAAAATGCTGTAGTCAATTTTTGGGAAATCTGATTTGCTGTTCAATGGCTTGTAAATGCCACAAACATACGAGATCCCTAAAGGCCAGAATAATGTCAAAATAAATGTCTCCATATTATTTTTACTGGTCCCACTGTAATGTCCAACGTTGCAAAAGGTTAAGGTTTCAAGGCTATTGTGTTACAAAATACAGAAAGGTTCAGAGCACTTCCCCAAGCACCAAACATTTGGAATCATTACAAAACCAAAATCTAATCCAGCAGGAAAATTTACTAAAACACAAGTAGCCTTTACGTATCAAGGAAAAGTTAAACTTTTTTTTATCGCAAATTGTGTACACACAATGATCAATGAAGTACAAACCACAGTAGTTTTTGACCTTTACATGTGTAGGTTATACTTTCATGCTTAGGTTTTTGCAATGATTTTACAAACTGCTAGAATATGTCAGGCCGTCAAAATGTAGACGTAATTAGATGAGGGGCACGCAATGAGCTGGATAATATTGGCCTGGTAAGCCGATATGTTGACGGACTATAACGCATTTTACTTTAAAGTGGAGAAGCGGAGATTGTAGACTCCAACATAATTTCCAATATACATTGGTAAAACATACACCAGTCATTCCTTGTGCTCTGCATCCATATGCCTTTAGTTAATTGTAGTTAATGCTTCTTTTCATGAACAATAACACCTTCATTGCATGCATAAACCCCATTATGTGTTGTTGAGCATTTCTACTAGTACCGTGCATAGATCTCCATTCATTTTGCACAAAAATAGAACATATCTGTGAGTCTGTCACACTCGAGGCTTTCCAGGCCAATATTATCCAGCAACATTTTGTATTTGTTTAACATGCCTTACTGTACTGATGAAATCCAAAGGATTAAAATAAGCCAGAGTGTGTTTGTTTAAACAAATACTGAGAGAAAAAAAACATTTTATTTATGTTGAGAAAACGACCATATCAATGTTAATTTCAATCAATTGACAGGATTCATTTCATTCTAGGAACAAAAAGTATATATTGCATGAATAAAAATAACAGCACAGGTTCATCAAACCTCATCAGAGTGCCACATAACCTTCTGAGACCAGATATTTTAAAGACTTCATTACAAAGTTGAGGGAGGGAATGGCACAATAATTTCTGGCCATGCAATTAGTACTTATAGACTTAAAACATGTTCGTGACTTCCTTAGTTTTCCAATACTTTGCACTCCTATCAGTCTTTATATTGTTTGTTATTGTTTTTGGGTATTTGGATGTGATACATTTTCACGTGATAAGCCACTTCGTTGAGCTATCATTTGTGGCCAGACCACTTCCGAGAAAAGAGCTACATAGCTCAGTGGGCCTTACCTGGTTACATAAAATTTCTAAGTAACTTTCTGACCCATCCTGACTGGACATCTGTGAAAAAGAGCTTCCTAGCTCATCGGATTCTTCCAGTCTAAATAAAGACTCTTGCTTCTAATAAAACACTATGCAGCAGAAGGACCAGTGGCCACAACCTGCACAAACCAAGTGACGGATGAGGCCAAACCAGGATGATGCATCCGAGTGAAAGTTGTAAACAGAATATAAGAGGACAAAGGTCAGCTACAGAAGCGATGTTTCCACCTTTGTCTGAAAAGAACACTGACTGTACCAAACGCCACTGCCAAGAGATGGCATTGACCCGACTCTTGATTAATGAGACCTCCAGCGCCACCCTTGGATCTTCAGACCGAGCA